CTTTTTTTTTTTTTTTTTTTTTTTTTTGATATTTATGTATGGCGGAATGTTATGAATGAAATGAAAAATATAACGCAAAACTTATACTTCTGTAATCTACCTTTCTTATTATTCCTAACAATTTTACGAGAAAAAATTCTAGACCTCGCGGTTTTTTATGGGATAAAAATATAATTTTTGCTTATATCCATAATAAAAATAATAAATGTCGCGTTTGATAATGACTCATTTATACCACATATGACATATAAATCAGCTAAAACCCTTTGCGATTTTTGTTCTTGCACCGTTTCACACACAACGCTAAGAACGCACGTTGTGTCCAAAGGGGAGCGACGGTGCTTTTTCAAATGAGGAAAAATGGTATACCATTTTCTACAAAGGTATACCACCAAACCACCGCGGCGCCGGGAATCGAACCCGGGACTTTCGGATTACCAGTCACATGCTTAACCGACTGAGCTAACCCGGTCGTCTATAACGCTTCTTTCTTTTCGCTTCATACCGCAAGAATTGTTACTCGCATTAGAATTTTCAATTTTATTTTAACATGATCTTCTGTATACCTGTGCCGGAGTAGGAATGCTAGGTGCGGGCGTCCCAGGACTCGAACTCGCGGGTGGACTTTCCCTGGAACTTGGCGCAAGATTCATACCCTGCGTCTGGCAAACAACAGCCGCTGTGGCAACCTGATTGTGAATATTGGAAGCCGTGCTAGTGGTCTGAAGTGTCTGCGGTGAACTGGCCGTGGCTGCGCTGCTCAGACTGCTGGTACTGCTGTACCTCGTACCACCCCGAGCTAGCCCAGTCACGTCGACCTCCATGTTTTCTGAAACTTTAATAGAAAATTTAATAGCTCGATTAGAGCTTGCGAAACTTGTATCGCTCTTCCATCCGTAATTTCATACGTTATTTCAAACATTTGCAGATCGTACATGTAAATTATATTATATGACGTATGAAGATAACAGTGACGAAAGCGATAACTGTATGGAATTTAAGTTTAGGTTATCAATGAATTTCGATATTTTTAGCATGTACTTTGAAAGTGACTTCAATTTTTTATTTCAGAAATATTCCATCTCTCTACTCATGCATCCGTCTTTACAATATTTTTCATAGGTACTTTATTCAGTTCGTGAAATATCTTGTAAATATTTTCACGTGTTTTCCAAAAGATAAAATTAATAAAATTAAAATTTAGTTTAAGGAGCGTAATTGAAGGATGAATATCCGTTACTGATGCGTAGCGTATTTCGGAAAGTCTTTTTGAGATGATCATATCGTTGTAATTACTGAACTTACCACTTCTCGTGGCCGTTACATCAGCAGCTGAATTCGGTTCCGATAAAAAAGTATTAAAATCAATGTGCTCCCAGGTAGCCGCGAGTTCCTTCTTCAAAGCTATTAATTTTTGTTGAGCAGCAATTTTTTCTCTGGCAAGCCTTTCCATCTCGTGTTCGTAATCTCGTTCTTTCCTTCTCAAAATCTGCAACAAGAATTCTCGAGATTAAAAAGGAACACTGAACGATAGCAAAGACGTGTTACAATTTTTCGCGGAACGAGGAGGAAAATTAGTTTTCGACTGATTAGGTATAAGATATAAAACCTTCTCGAGATTATGTAAGCACGTGTTCCAGACAGATTCCGATTATTCACGAACGAGAAAGCGCAAATATGTTTTAACTGATAACAAGATATATATATTTATTAGTTTGGAACTCGTACAGACTCAAAATTCCAAAATATGCGCAATTTGTCGTATACAAAGTCACTTTTGTTTAACAAACTTGTACCAGCGTGTCGTAATTGCAAAATATTCATTAAACAGGCATGTACAACGAGTTGGACCATATCTTCCTTAGTTAAATCATACCGTAAAGTATCATACATTTGACACGATTTTTATATCGTTTCTATTGAAGCATAGTAAAACAGCAAAAATTATCTTCGAGACGATCGGATGCGTTCGAATTTTTGCCTACATTGCACCACGTTCTCTCAGAAAATAGCGGCGAGAAAAGCGGGAGAAAGCTGATAGAAATGTTCTCGCTTCGCTTTCGAGAATACCTTGGCACGAACGTCACATGATACTCCTGCAGATTCAGGACACCTCTCCCTCGAAATACGATAAGCCTTGCATTTGACGTCAGCACGAACATGCGTGAAGGAACGTGCACGTGACAACGACACCCAGCGAGCGATGCACGAGTTTGAAGAGAAACCGAGAAGAAAGAAAATATGCGAGGACGAAATTCCTGCCGTGTGCAAATTCGAATCTGATCAAGTGCACGCGTTCGTGCTTACTCGGTTCGCATCACAGGTGCTGAGAAAATTCACGTAGTAGCAAGTTTCAGCCGCGATAAGGAAGTCCAGCGAGGGAACGGTATCGTCCATGACGCCACTTTCATCATTCGATCTCGCGATATAACCTATGTCCTTCTTTGTATATACAGGAGTCCGTAGCGTTATGAAATTATTACTAGAATTTGCAACCTTGAAATATATACTTGTCTTCCATCTTTCTATTAATTTTTATCCCTTGGCGATAATAATATAATTCATGATTTGTCTGTATCATCCATGACGCCACTTTCATCATTCGATCTCGGGACATAACCTATGTCTGCTCTTCGTACATACACGAGTTCGTAGCGTTATCAAATTATCGCTCCAATTTGCAACCTTCAAATATACATCTTCCTTTCATCCTTCCATTAATTTTTATCCCCTGTCGAAAATAATATAATTCATGATTCTTAACGTGTAGTGTAATTTAAAGTTTATAAATAAATGCACAGGTACTTCTAATTCTATCCACTTCGAAACAAAAATTACCTGTTATAAAAAAGTATTGGGCGTGTTGGTCAATCTAACCTAAAAATTCTTTAGACGCGGAGTTAAGGATTTAACATATACCGCCCCGTAACCGTCCGTGGAACGACACGATATTGTCTAAAATGAATTCAATAGTTTCGAGACTGTATACATTGGATATAGAGGGGAGAATAAAATATATGACAATAAAGAAGGAATTAATAGACGTACACGTATAATGACAGGTATCTCGGGTACGTCTTTACCTCAAAACGTGATAAACGTTGGACTCGGAATCAGCGAAAACGTTCGGCAGAAGAACGCACGTGACAATAAGAGGCAGCGCTACTGGCGGGCACTGATACAGGTACACGTGGTAGGATCGTCAAGGGGGAGAGAAAGGAAAACGACGCGGTCGCGCGCAAAAAGGAACACAGACGGAAAACAGATGACCGGGATCGCCAACTTACACACTGATAATCAAACGAAGAGCGAGACGGAGAACCTCTTGGCCGAAGACAAAGATGGAGTAAGACGTAATAGATTAAGGGAGATAGAACGAACGACAAGGATAGAGCAACACAACACGAGAGATAAGGGGAGGGGAGCAGGCAAAAGAAGGGGAGTACACATTGCGAAAAAGGCAGAGAAACACAGAACAGAAATAAACAGAGACGCGCACCGAAGGATAGGAAGGTTAAACGGAGATGGAAGGATAGAAGGGTGAAGTGAGGAGGAAGGAGAACGAAGGCCGTTGCATGAATAGACGCACGCGCGGTTTACAAGCACGTGGGTAAACCGCCTCCAACAGGATTCGCACACACAATATCACGCTCGGATATACGCAAATAGCGTTTTCGTTTCTTTCTACATCTCCACTATCTGCCACGTCGTACGTGCCGCGAAGATCGTGCATGTACTTTATTAAACTTTATCGAACTCGCGTGTATGCGAAACTAGCGGATTTTTCGCAAACTAACGAGAACCGAGCAAGTTAAACGCGCCTCGGGCATCTTCGTACCCACAGTGGATTATCGGTTTTCTTTCATTCGTATCTTCCATGTACTTCGTTTTACAAATATCTGCTTTTTTGTAGAGTACCCTTTTATGCGATATTTATTATCCCAGCACATCGACCGTTAAGGGAAAGTCTCGTTATCGCGCCACTTAAGGTCTAATAATTACATTACACTTCAGTCTCTGCTCGTGTGCGCTTATCGGCCGAGCTCCCATTTACGCGGAAAATGAAAACAAGCAAAACCTTCGCGAAACATTTCCACGTGGACTCTGTTTTAACATTCGAGTTATGAACACAAAAATGAAATAACGACATTTTACACCTGCAACACCCGTATCAATCTCCGAAATAATACACTAGCTTACTTAACGATCTTGAAAGTCTGGCAACTATTCACGAAGTTATTATTGCGTCGGTAAACGCGTGGTTTATTTGTGTGTCGCTAAGTTTCACGCAAAATTTTAGATTATCCTCGGCGCGAAGAGAAAAATAAAATATGATTGCACTGAAAGGTAAAAATTATTTTTTATATTATAAAGATTCAGTTTCTCGGCATTTACACGTCTCCTTCGATAATTATCATTATTTTTACAAATGCAATAAAATATAACTAACGGTGGAAAAAATGTAGCTTTACCAATCGATGACTGTGTGAAAACAAAATAGCAAATTGATAACAGTCTACATCGATGATATTATTCGCAAGATGTAGCGGATCGATCGCTGGACGGAAATGGAAAGAGGATAATTCGGCGTAATTACGCAGGGACGTGACGTTATGGTAAGTCACCATGCAATTTCGACACGTCGAACCGGAGCGTCGCCTCGTACTTAGAAGTCACCAACAATGGCGCCGAACGATAAAAGTTCGGATAGCAGCGTACGCCGTACGTGCCATGCGGCGTGACACCGATGGCCGCACAGTCACGTGGAACCAATATAGGTACGCTTCTACGTTGTCGTGTACGCACACGCGCGAACTGCACGGTACAGCGAAATGACACGGCAAACGAACCAGACGAAGAAAGCGAACATCTTGCGGGGTGGGGATAAGCGAAGGATGACCTAGAGCGAGAAAGACGGGGACCGAGAGAGACGGAGGATTACACGCACACCGTTAGCCCGACGAGGATGATAGAGCCAAGAAAAGGTAGGGCGAAAAGGTGGGGAGTAGAAACTGCAGATACGAAACGCAGCCATAGAGATGAAGCGAGATAGAAGATACACGCGGAAAGAAAGGAGAGGTTTCAGAAGAGACAAAGACAAAAATACGAGGAAGAACCGCAGGAAGGAGGGGGAGGGGGGGAGGACAGCGTGTCTCTAGAAACGACCCTGTGCGGCAAACCGAGCAACGGAGAGAGTGAACCGATAAGACAAGGAACGGCGACGAATGTACGGTAAAAAGCGAACAAAGAGGGAAAAAGAGTTCTCGCGTAAAAGTGGAATAATATACAGTAAGTGCACGCGATCGTAGGAAAGGAGAAGAGGAAGGAAACAAAGAAAGAAGGAAAAGAAATATGATACCCCGGTTCTGCACGATAGAAACGATACGTGTACCGTCCGCGCATTGGAAAGAAACAAACAGATCGCGCAGTGAGCGAATAAAAAGAGAAACATGCGCAGTCTGAACGCGAAAGGGTACGGAGAAAGAGATACGGAAAGTAAACGGACGGCGGAGTGGGGGCGGCAGAGAGAGGTGACCGAGCGACAAAGACGGATATAGGAGCGTAAGTAGGGATCGCGAAGGCGCGACAAAGAGGGCGAGAGGCTGATGGTAGGGTTGGAGTTGAATCACGAAAGAAGGGAAAGGAGGAGGTGTGGTCGACCTTCGCGGGGACGCGCATTCGACCGATTCTCTGGCCATCGCGCGTAAAGTTAATGTCCGTATTGCAACTTTTCCAAAATCGCTCCATTAAAAAAAAAAAAAAAAATTACAAAACGTATCACGATCGAACACCTATGTGCCGAATGATTTTTCTCTCTGGGTATAAAATAGATACGATATCTAAACCCTTACCGCGGTCGGTACAATAAAATGATTTATTTCCGGCCCGATACCATATGCCATTATTGTCTTTGACCGGCTAATTGGTATTTACCATCATGGCATGTTATATCACTCACTGATACGTAATTTGCGAGACGCAATATATTAACGAAAGCGATTAACAGAATGGAAGATTAATTGGGTTATATCTTGCGTACAGAAGGTTAATACATGATGAAGTAAACATAGTTACGTTCTCGGTTTACAGATTTCGATGGAATCGTCGAAAGTCGATCATCACGGTCTTATTATTTCTATTCCCCCATTTCTTAAATTAAAAAAAAAAAAATTTTTTCTTTTTCTTTTTTCCAGAAAATTTCAACGTCGTGTGATTGATTCGTGGTACATTGACAGTGCGAATCGAACGGAAGAAATACGTGGCCTTTATACTCAGGTGTCACGATGACATATCTCGGATTACCAAGCGTAAAATTTTATTTTACGCCAGGTCAAACAGCTAACCGCGACACTGGAAACCGTTCTGGCATAATGGGGAGCGTAATTAGTACTTTTTATGATACCAAAGTGCAACGACAAGTTATGCACGACCATAATCTCTCCACCGAGTCGCCATTGCACACGTACGCGAACAGCGTAATCGGTACAACGAACTACGTTCGCGCGTTTTAAATCAGCGGAATCGTCGGGAAAGAAATTACAAAGAATCGGAGAAATTCGGTTTCACCGAGAAATTACTCGTCATAGCAAAACGGTATGGAGGAATGTTCGAAAATGAAATTACCGCGGGCAAAGTCGATTACCATGAGTCGGACAAGCGCGTAGACGAAGAGCTTATGGATCGAATTCGCTGGTGATGTAATTATTGCAAAGCCAGACGATAGTTGACAGTAGATAGCAAATGAGAGACAGAAAAATCGAAATTTTCTGCCTGAAAAATTCTGCCGAGCAGACAGTATCGTTGTTGATTGTTATTTCTCGATCGCGTAGTGAGAGATAAGCCTATAATAATCGGCTAGAGATCACTATAGGGCACTGTTTGTTCCCCGTGCTAAGTTACGTTATTCCAATATTACCGATAATATCGATGTTATTAAAAATATTCACGTTTAGATCGTAAAGGGAAATTACAGTGTTGCTGAGAGGAAGGAAGATGATTATCTAAATAAAACAAAATGGCTGCAGTGGTGGCGTACATACCTGTATATGCCTGATCGCAGCGTGGAGAATCGAAAGGTTCGACGACTTTTTCTCCTCCTGCGATGGGAGTTGCTTCTTCAACAATTCGAAGCATTCTTTCAGGTGCGCCCTTCGATTTTTCTCCAATTTGTTGTGCACCTCTCTGGTGCCAGAACGGATTACACACGGTCTAGAATAGAGAAACGCATATATGTAGCCACGCGATATTTTGCAATTACAGTCGCGACTATCTCGTATCATCGTGCATCCTACATTAATCTCAACGACCCGAAACCTATCGGAAGCACGAGGCTTGCGAGCTCTTAAATAAAAAGCCGCGGCATAGTTACGAGCTACTAAAATGTAGTTCACGCTACATAATTTCCTGATATATTTATGCGCCTGTAATTTACATTACCAGCTCGGATGCTGTTAATTTGTCACGGATCTTCAAAGAGATTCGCGCAAGATGTTGGCACGAGCTGGCCAGCCAATGCCTATATCGTTCTTGCATCATTCCCTTACAAGATCGCAACGATCCAACCTGAACTTGATGTATAACGCTTGCTCGCCATCTTTTATTAATCGCTTTTCCACCCATTCTTCGCTTCCAAGGGAGCCAACGATCGAGCTTGATTTATACGAGAAACTTTGGAATTTCATGCCGCATTTTCTTATTCCACGATAAACGGACTTTCCAATTCTGGGAACACTGTTAAAATCCCGACAAATGAACGGAAAGTACACGATTCCCTTAACCCCATGCACTCGGCGATCTTCTCATTCTTCCCTCGCAGACAAATCGCGAATGAAGGATATTTTTGAAATTACAAAATCGACGATATTTTTTGAAATAGTTAATCAAAAATTATATCGAATTGACAGGTAGAATTGCTTTGTTTCGATATTATTTTTAATTTAACGTGTATCTATTCGGCTCGATCTTTAGAATTTTATTAAATGGCGACTGGAGATCGCCTCTCGAGTGCAAAGGGTTAATCTTCCGAACGAATCTGCGAGAATTTGTAGTATAACAAGCGACGAATAATATTTTCTTTAGAGAAGACTGTTTTTTAAATCCTTTTATTTCACAGATCCCGTAATCTCATAGGGAATTTAATTAAATTTCGTTTTGCAGATGTCGCGTAAACGGATCAGAATGGATGGAAAATGCGGTTTTGCAGGAGACTTATCTGTTCGAGGATTAATGCATCTCTTTAACAAGAGAGTCGTAGAGAGCAACAACGGGGATTTATCAAAATGAGTGAAAAAGCAGATTCGAGGAGAAAGAAGATTGGAAAAAATATTCCAACTCCGATGGAATTAAATTTTTGAAATAATAGCGTGCAAGAAAGTGTAGCTGTATTATTAAAATCAACGTGAAAAATGTATGCCTTCGTGTATTAAAGGTGTAATAAATTCTGATTATAGGAAAAATGATCTCTATTTTTTTTTTTTAATTAATGAGAGATATTATCAGCGAAGAGAAGTGCAAGATAAAATGGTAGTAAAAATTCAAACAGTTGATTACAGTACATAATTAACATTAGAACCACCGACCTGTAATGAGCAGCTATATTATCTTTTCTATTTTACACAAATGAAGGTAATTACAGTGGTACGAGGAAGAGGAATAACTATAAACAATTATGTTTCGACCTGAATAAAATTAATATAATAAATTCTGTCAAAAGGAGATCGTGTGTTTTCAGAAATTGTGAAAATAAAATATCCGAAACGAGCCATTTTCACCCTTTTCGTAGTTCTACTGTTAAAATTGTACTTTTTGATACAAGTAGTCAGAATATTACGATGATAACAATAATTTACTTGTAGATTTACAAGAAAAGTGGTTTCTACTAGGAACTCGCGAATCAAAAGTGAAGATTAATCCTTTACACTTGATGATAATTAATATATTAAATTAAAAATTACCCAGCGATGCGTGGAATATCGAAGTAAAATAATTCCACGTTTTAATTTGCATACGATTTCTTATTTATTATTTTAAAAATATCATAGACTTTATGGCAAAAAGTGCCATAGTTTCTCCAACGAAAAAATCATCGAGGGCAAAGTGTTAACCCTTTGCACTCGAGAGGTGAGTTTACCTAAGTCACCGTTTAATCAAATTCCGAAGATCCGTGTTAATTAAGATATCAAATCTAAAATAACCTAAGTTTGCATGGACCGTCAAAATAAAATAATTTTAAGCGTTAATTTATACCCGATTCCTTATTTACCGTGTCAAAAATATCCTCGACGTTACAGCAGAGTTCCAGTTGCTATTCTTCTGTAACGAAAGTAATCACCGAGTGCAAAGGGTTAATTTCAATTTTGGAAAATTACGCAAGTTCTCGAAATTTATTTAAATTTTACTACCAAGCATAATTCTATTATCGGTATGAAGAATCTGGCTCGTGTTTGTCATCTTGGAGATGAAAAATCGAGGGTGAGGGAGTAAATCTGCTTCGATATGTCTCGCATTATACATAACCTCAAACAATTTCCTTAACGCTAAACTAACAGCTGAAAACGATCGTTTCCAGATATTCGAGTAAAAATGCTGCATTCAACGTTATCGCTTTGGTCACTCGACTTTTCCATTTCTCTTTTAACACGAGTATTAATCCTTTGCACTCGACGATTTTTGGCTGAAGAAGAATAGGAGTTCAAAGATTTTCTGTTACAAAGCTGACGATATTTTTCTGGGCACTAAATAAGAAATCATATAATAATTAACACGTAGAATTATTTAATTTCGATACCTCCCACACTGTTATATTATTTTATATTTGATATATTAATGAATATCGAGCTTCGAAATTTTATCAAATGGCGACTAAAAGGCGTCTCTCGAGTGCAAAGGGTTAACAATTCCCTAATATTTTCGTTTATTTAACTTTCTTTGAAATTCTCTTTCCACTTTTTCGTCTATTAGTCGTTTCACCCCGGTCGTGGTGGGTTCGGTACAAACGTCAGATTTACCGAACCCATATTGCATACTTTAAACGTAGATATACTTAACAGATAACATTACCATTAATTTCACTAAAAATTCACCACGCAAAAATGAAAATCTCCAGAGAAACGGCTGAAACGATTCCTCGACTCGAATGAAGCAAATAGTACGAAAAATAGTAAAGAAAGAAGCAAATCCTCGGAAAGAGAAATTAAAAAATTAATTTCGCGCGATAACACTGAATCTGGCATTTCAAAATTCTGAAATTCCTCTAACGACCGATGGAGAAAAAAGTAAGGCAGAATCTAAGAATGAACAAAAAATAGTAAAGAAAGAAGCAAATTCTCGGAAAGAGAAATTAAAAAATGAATTTCGCGCGATAACGCTGAATGCGGGATTTGAAAATTCTGAAATTGCTGTAACGACCGATGGACGAGAAAGAGAAGCAGAATCTAAGAAAGGAGAACTAACGATGCAAGAGGAAACTTGGAGCGACGAAAGAAGAGAAATAAACTGACCAAAGGGAGAACGTTGAATGCGGAATTTCGAGTAAAAATTTCGGTTTGGGTCGCGGGGATTTAACGTAGACCGGAGCAACCACCCCTGGATGAAATGGCGTTGGCGGCGAGGAGGTTGCGGAGAAATTACGATAATCTCTAGTACGGGCACGCACGGGCGCGTAGCTGGCCGTACGCGATAATCGTGCCGGCGCGTTAGTACGCGTCTCGGTCTCACGGTAACGCGACGTGGTAAACGTCGCGGCGTGCACGTGCCATTCACCCTGGACACGTGCACCGCGTGAATGGGTAGCGGAGACTCTCTCGCCTCGACGCTGCTGCCCGTGCATCGAGGAAAAGAGAGAACGGCGAAGACGGCGAGGGAGAGGGAGAGCGCGCGAAGCAACAGGCTGACATATCGGCAGGCAGAAGGAAGACGGAAAAACGGCGAGACGGAAGTTGGAGCCGCGGCGACACCGTGGACTGGAGCGGGCAGGGGAAACACGGAAAGAAATACGGAAAGAAACGGGGAAAAGAAAGGACGCGATGAGAGAGAGAGAGAATGCCGTTTTACCGGAAGAGGTGAACACCGGGGGGTGAGAGAGGGACGGGGAAAGTTCGAAAGATGACTGATGGGCAGACAGAAATGAACTTCTTGAGAATCAGGGGTGCAGATGTGCTGTATTTCGTGGTATGAAAATCACTTTCATGAGTCGTGTCAGGGCTACCACTTTGCACTCGAACGTCTATATTCGTCGTGGGGAGAAAAGCTCCAAGCTTTTTCCCTTTCTCTCACGCAATGACAATCCGTTTGGGATACAACGCGAGAAGGAATCACGTGTAAATTAACACAGCGTCTTATTTTAATTACACGTTATTATTATTATGCACCTCGATAACGTGCTATCGCGTTATTTTAAACTTAGCATCGGCTATTAATACCGGCGATTTTGCTAGCTGGCTTCTCTCGAGTGCAAAGTGTTAACCGTGGCTTGTATAATATATATGCAGCTTTATCGATGTAACATTTGGTAAAATCGTAACACGTTCTGTACCGTGCGGCCCATCCTTGGGGCGTGAAATTGAAATACAAAATCGTAAATCTCGCGATAAATGTCATTCGAAGTTCGCTGATTCTCATCGAGCGATCGAGCGAACGTTCCGAAAAATCGCGAAAAATCGCGAAAAATGAAGCAAGTTAGAACGCGTTTTTCCCCGTTTGCACAGAACGTGTTTGGTAGCGTATAAAAATTGCGATATCTATCTAACACCTAATTATCTTAATCGCACAGATTGCCCACTTGATGCGAAGTTGCAAAAAGCTCGGCCCCCGATACAACTCGGTATAACGAGCAGGAGCGAGAGGGTAATTCATTTTCTAAGTTGTTCAACTCGAATCAACTCTCATTCTCTACAAAACGAAGCATTCTACGGATAATTATAATCAGATAGGAAGTTTTTCTTTATAAAGTCATTCGCAGTTGCAACGCTGACTCCGTTATTCTTAAGCTTATTACGAGACAATTTCCAGCTAACTTGCTCGGTGATTCTATTCGGCGAATAATCTCAAATTAGCTCGTTTCATCTCTCTCTTTTCTTTTCCATTATTTACATCGCTCCACTCCCCTCTCCGAGGGAGGCCGATGTGAGCCGATGTTCCAATATAACAATAATGATAATAATAATATAAAAAGCATGGAATTAATGGAAAATTTCCTGTCTCTACGGAAGGAATATCGAAATTCAAACGCGATTAAGATAAAGAAATTAAAAATAAAAGAGCCCTGTTGATCGAGCTATCTTTTAATCTCCTCAGCGATGAATCCTCCGAATTTGACAGAATCCTTCGACCTTTCGCTCGATTCCGTTTCACGCCGTTTAAATGCGCAATTCCCATTGAGTTTCAACGAAAAATCTACTTCCGATTGGGATTAGAATGGAAAATTGTAACGAAAGAAAGCACCGGAGGAGAGCTAGAAACACTGGCTGTTAATGTTAATTACGTGTAAACTTAAGCTAGATTATATTAAAGCGGCTTTATAGTAACTAAGAGTACGTTAAACCTAAGGGAACGAACAAAGATGTGTATACATAGAAATTATCCTGCACCTTATCCCAAATTCGATGAGCTTAACATGTTAATTATATCGGGTTGGCCGATAGATACTGTCGGATTTTATCTTTCAATTTATTCATTCTCACCTATCGATATGTATTACGTGATCACGCGTAAATTGCAATTACCCGTCAACTGTCTGTGAAATAGTCAACGATTGTACATCACAATCTAATAACGTATTTTTCGTCTAAAAGATGAGCAATGTTTTACGATAAAAATTCCGAAATTACTTTCGACCAACCCGTATACGAAATATTACCCTACGTTATCTAACCGCATAATTAAATTATACCTACCACGACTAGTCATTTGATAGATCAAATAATCAATCGTGGTACACGAGCAGGCCACATATGGATAAAAAAGGAATATATATCGAAGGTATGTCTTAAAGAAAAAAATCGTAAAAGGAAACAACGAAAGCTATAACAATTAAATGCAGAATCTTTATCGAAAGTTTAACTAGTGGAAAAAATGGCTGATTCCAGATATTTCGTTTTTACCCCGGCAGAAACTGAAGCATGCAGCTATTTTCGACAAAATTCTGATAAAATTACATGTGCCTACACAGAGATCACGATTCTAAACGTGTATCGAGAATACGCGTGCACACCCAAGGAGACTCGCTCCGCTAACTTTAACCCGCAACTCGTTGCTATATTTCGTACATGGCAAATACCTCGCGTGAAACTTGAATAATCGAATATCTCGTTGCACGTGGATCCGCAGTTGCAAGGAAAAACAGCGCAAATTCGAAAAATTCCAATTCGCTCTAACCCTTTGCGGACTATGGTCGCATATATGCGTTCGGCGGAAACCATCAATTTGGCCGAGGAACTGATAAATGAGCCGTTCACTGTGCAAATTGATTAACTGCATAAAAGAAAAAGTAGAGAAATACAACGAAATAACGTAGTTATGACTATACCAAGTGGTATGACACTTAAATTTCAGATTTTTTAAAAAGTGCAGTTAATCGATTCGTGCAGTGAACGGCTTGTGTTGCAAGTAAACGCGTTGCTATGGCCCGGAAACACGTATATGCGCTCTAGGACCGTACGTCCCAAGTGATGGACTGTTTTGTGTCCTTATTGCCAGCATCGATGTGATCGAAAATCGTATGATCGTGTTTAACCCTTTCGCTTCGAGCGCGGTTCATAGGCAGCGTCCACGAGATGACTCCTGGGTACGCGGGCACCCCATATATCCAGCATCCAAATGACGCTTGATAACAAGTGCAATCTGTACACGATTGTTTTGTTCGACACAGTTGTCATTTAAATGCTCGGCTCAGGAAAAGGCAGAGAAATATAGAGAAGTCACACGCACTGTGCACACTTCTGGCGCGCGCTTCCGTTCAGTGACTTTAGCGGACTGATCTGCCGAAGCGAAAGGGTTAAGTAGAAATGAGAAACGAGCTCAGTCCGCAAAGGGTTAACGCAAACGCTAATAACGATTAAAATATTCGACGTGCTCCCCTGCAACCACGGAGATAATCGTACAAAGAAATTATCTGTGCAACGACACGCGTGCACGTGTGCTTAGAGTCTCTGGAGGCACATAAAAATACCATCGGAATCGGTAAATGAATCGCGAAAATCGGTGGTTGAAATCTCGGTAGGTTAACACTGAGCTAGATCACCCTTTCGAAAATCTTCGTTCAAAATTCCGCATTCAACGTTATCGTCTTGAACATTTGTCCTCGCGGTTTCTCTTCCAATATACGTATCATCATTTTCCCAATGTCCCCCCGTTGCTCGATTCTTTAAGCTTCCGTTTCTTTTCCCATGAACGGGGATTCGGCGGTCGTTCGACCATGCTGTCGAACCGTGTTCTCAGCGTTGGACCGCCGAGAGAACGAAGGGGAAGGAAGGAACGTACATCGAGAATTGGAAGATGAGGTAGAAATAAATAGCCAAGAGTCTTACCCGTTCCGATGCCTCTTACTGTCGTGGCTCGGTTCGACGTCGACGACGAGATTGCCGGGGTTCTGCTGCGAGTGATTCGAATTATGATTTTCCACGTAAGGGTTATGCGTGCTGTTGTGATTGTTGTGATGATGATGGTGATGGTGATGCTGCTGTTGCTGGGGCGGCTGCTGTTGCTGTTGCTGCTGCTGGTGGTGAGGGAGGTGGTGAGTCGTGGAGTGAAGGGCGGTCAGATGAGCCGAGTTTGCGCTCGCAGAGGGTGGCGTTACTCGCGTGCTTGAGATCACGGGACTTCCTCGGGAACCTGCCGAGTGATTCCCGTTCGTCCTATTATTTTCCAGCGGTTCCTCCTCTGAAAAACAAGAGAAATCAACTAAGCATTTTCCCAGGATTGCTCGTTATTGCGCCCCGAACGCTGCTACTCCACCGATCCCAGTTCCCATCCGGTTGTTTTCGTTCAATGTGTCGTTAGCTAGGATATAGGGACGTCGGAGACGTGGATGGACGACACATTACTAGCTTAGTTTATATGTTCCAGTTGGGGATACCGTGTGTGCAATATGCGAGCCCGAGCAAGGGGTGTTATGTTTTTCAAAGCTCTCCCTATTTTATCCTTTATAATTATTAGATCATTTCATCCTCACTCTGTTCAGGCTTTTCGCTATACCTAATTTTCCTATTAGGTGCTTCTTGTTTTTCTTCTGATTTATGTAGCGTAAATATAAGTGGCAAAGCGTGTTCTAATATTACCAAATGAGTGGGGTACAGAAATATGGATAGACCAAAGCTAGGTGAATGTAAAGTCCGTTGCTTCCCGAGAGTTTGTAATTTGTAATGTTTAATCTCAAATCCTTAAGCACAAACTGAATATGATTTATATAACAAGTGGTGGATGTGTTGGTGAGGGTGGTAGCTGGATTAGGAAGATTCGCGAGACCAAATCCCTTTTTCCTAGCCCTGGAGGTCGAGAATGAAATTAGGAATTTATGTAAGAAAGGAATAAGTACAGCCGTGAAAGAATGTCAAGAGTGTTTTGGCTTAAAAGGAAAGTGACCGCGTGCAAGAGGATGGAATGTAAGGGATGTTGATGACAGAGGCAAATGCGATAAACGAGTGGAGATGTATGAATGCATGGGGGGTAGAGAGAGAGAGAGAGAGAGAGAGAGAGAGTTATTATCGCGTATATAAGAATAAGTTTAAAATAAATCACTTTTATATTTACGTCACTGTATTCTGAACTTATTCGGTTGCCTGCCCAACATCCATACATATATATTAGCGATTGAACGTCCTCTTTTCACAGTTTCGAGGTGCACGAGACAAGGAACGCCGGTGATAAACAAATAAGCCAATCTCCGGCTCGGCAACTACGGTTTTGCGACCGAATACTCATCGTACAACTTCCCGAGGCTCTGTTTATCTGATAACGAGCTAGAGGATCGAGGCTACCCCCGACGTCCAGTCTTTGCATCTCTGATTCCTCGGGGCTGAGTGTATTGATAAGTAACTTTGTCTTTGCACAGTCTGGGATGATTTATAATTGATCGGTTTTGACTCTGGGTTGCGCGAGTCTATCATTTTCTGGAGTGTGAACATATCGGAGATGTACATTTAATTTATAATGAAGGGTTATGGTTGTTTTCGTGAAGATCGGAGAATCTTTAGTGGGAAAGAATGCAACACTTTTGATTGCGAAATTTGGAATTATTTTCGTCAAATCGAAGAGCAGTTAGTGTAAGTAACTTTGTTGTTTGAATCCTGTTTCCGATATCTTCTAATCGACTCGTTCTGGAATGATGCAAATGTGTAATTACACGGAGTACAGTGAAGATTATGGTGCTTTCGATTCGTGTCTTGCAATTATTTTTATGGGAATCATAGCATTGTTAGTTACAGAAATAATTGAAATAGCATTGCTAAAATTAATTTGATCGAAGGATTTGTTGACCAAGAGTCTTTAAATTTTTATTGAAAATAAGTGGACAGTGTCAGAATTATTTCTACCAATATAGGAGACTTATTTGAATAGAGGAAACACTTCTATTAACAGTCTTTCATAATTATTTTCATTAAAATCCATGGATTCTTTTACAAGTAAAAGAGTTTCGATTGAAGATCTCAGAATCAAATATTTCCATGGACACAGAGAAGCATTTAAGACCAGGAATAGAAGGTTTTTAACATAAACTGCAAAAATTGTGTATCTTGATAAAAATCCAAGAATTCCTAACTGCAAATAAAAGATTTCCGATTCAGAAACTTGGACTCATATAATTGGTTTAACACAAGAAGAATAACACATTTCCACGAATATAGAGAAACAAATAATTTAAAACCCTCAAACAGGATGTTTCCAATTCCAAATCTCCCTATCGTTTTCACAAAAATTCAAGAATTTTTAATTATAATTACAATATTTGAAGTCATGGAATCATTTCCACGAATACATAGAATCGTTTGAAACCCAAAAATGGAAGGTTTCTAATTCAAAATCCCCCCACCCCCCGCGTTTTCACAAAAATTCCAGGATATTTCAAGCTCAACTATAAAATTTGAAATTAAAAATCGCGAAATTCGGACAACTTTGCCACGTAGAATTAACGATTGTGAACAGCACAGGGAGAATTTAAAGAACAATGGTTATTCCAAGATGTCGGATAGCTAATTAACGAATCGGTCAAAGGATAGCTTCATCAGAGCAGCTGGACAGGATATCCCTGGAAAAAGCTGGCACATCGGTAAACCTGTTTAAACCGCTCAGCGGCGAGAAATTCTCAGGTAAATACTTTTCCACGGATGGAGGCATACAAAGGGAAGATTTTACAGTGGTAATTCCCGTGCAGTTGGCCGATCTCGAAACTTTCATTCTGGATAGCATTCATGGAGGCACAGCAATTCCTCGCGTTCTACGGCGCAGACGACAAAGCTCCCTTGCCCATTCTATTCTATACCCGAACCTGAATGACTACGTTCTCGCCTAAGATTAGCGGATGCTTCACTGGAGTGGCGATGGCTTCGATACGTGTGCTTTTATAACGATCAACTATCTCTCTATCCACCTTCCATACCTCCTATTTCAACAACCTGAACTGCCTTCGATCATGCACAAAATTACCAAAAAATGTAACCAATCGAAGAATCGCCAAGGTATTTATGAAAACTCAACAATCAACCTAACGGAGCCCTAATGGTCCTTTTTCAATTTTTAAACTAAAAATTTCGCATTACATATTATCGCTTTCTTTCTTCAATGTGGGTATAAACAATTTTTCAATATATTCTTGTGTTCCATTTTTCTGAACTTTTTCCTATTTCATTTCTTCGTTTACAGGTTACCTGACTGATTAGGGTAGGTTTGGTATTGACAAAATAGCAATGATAAAATTGAAATTAAAAATATATATATATATTTTAATTTCAATTCAATTTCAATCAGAAAAATGGAACACAAGAATATATTAAAAAATTGTTTCTACTATATATATATATAGGAGAAGAGATTAGAGAAGATGGACCAAGGTTGTAATATAGACTTCTCATTTTTAATTAAGCAGGTAAGTATAATATGGTGGTGATAATCACGAATACTGCAATTAGTGTTCTATAATACTCTCGAATAAAATGGATACGATTTGTTTTTGTATTTTTCAGTCAAAAAGTGGAAATGTTCGAGTCTGCTCGTGTAGAAGCTTTTCCAAAATGAGTTTCATCATTTTCTCTCATATTACTTGATAAATGCTGTTAATCCTTTGCACTCGACGATTTTCTGGCTAGAGAAAAGTAGAAATTCGAAGATTCTCTGTTGAAAAACTGACGATACCTTTTTGAGCAGTAAATAAAGAATTGTATAATAATGGAATTGTAGAATTATTTGATTTCGATACCTCGTACACTGTTACATTACGTTAAATTTTATATATTAATTAATATCGATCCTCCAAATTTTATGAAACGATGACCATAGCTCACCTCTCGAGTGCAAAGGGCTAATCCTTGAAATACCGTTTCAGGGGTCTTGTATTACTCATCAGGAAAAACCATATTGCCGACCCCGGAACTCAGGTAAAACAGGATGACACCTTAACGCTTGACCATTATGTACGCCAAGTACCTGAAGTATAGAGGAATAATTCGGTTCGTTTTTCCGTTTGTAACCCCTCAAATTCGGGAACTCCATCCAATTACAAATTACACAGCCCTGCCAAGGGTCCACATAAAGGCTAGACCTATTGGCTCGTATAATATAAATATAATTTACAAATAAGTAGATACACAGTCCACTTACTATTTCGAAGCCTAACACAATCTCCTCAAAGAACCATCCCTCGCTGATCGTCATCAAGCAAGAATGACCTAGTATATACAAATGTATTCTGTTATTGAGAAATATCACACCCAGCCTGAAATTTGTAGATTAGTGTAATGTATAGATTAGGCTAGTCTTCCAGTTATTTACCTTCTATTATTTCTTATTTCCGTTTCAAATTTCTTTATATTTTTCATACAAATAAATTGGAAATTTACATCTACTTCTTTGCAACCCTGGTCCATATTACCACCAAATTTTAATCGAGTAAAATTATCAGAGAGTTGGGAACATATTCATACACCTCACCTCGAATATATAAACTACAATTTTGGATATCTATTTCCCTCGACAACGAAAAACAGCTGTATTAACTCCCTGGTTATCAACCCCCAAAACAAAAGCTAAAAAATTCTTTCAAATTGCAGCATTAAAATTCAAAAAATTCAGAAACTGAAGTTAATCACCTGAGTCCTAGTTAACAGTTAACACTGAACCTACCGTCATCTAAATCACCCATTTTTAAAACTTTCGTTAAAAATTCCGCAATCAACGTTATATCATCTTAATCACTCGACTTCACGATTATACGTCAATTTACATTCCCAATATACGCGTAATAATTTTCCCAATATCCCCCGTTATCCTATTTTTTGAAAAGTTGTAACTTTTCCTCGTTCACCGGTCGTGCGAGAGTGGTAGTTCAGCGTTAACTCGGTAAATTGATGGAATTTCGCAGGAAGTCGTCTAAACAGGAATTCACGAGCGACCGAAACGCTTCGCTACGATCCTGTAGGATCTGCAATTTTCGTGCTCGGAGGGCCGCTCCATTCGTCGCGATGCTATAAATTAGCGCAGCACGTGTACGCACATGCAACTAACTCATTCATGTACCAAGAGACTTGGCAAAGGTTCGTCGCATAGCTCGACGCTTCCTAAATCTATTCCGGGCTTAAAGACGGCGTGTACGTACCATGAGAACAAGAAGCAAGAAAGCACCGACGATATAGCTTGCACTCGGTGCACGCTTGAGACGCTGCCTTCGA